AACCCCAGTTTCACCCTGACGGTTCAACCCCCACCCAAAATCCTCGTCCATGCCCCAATTACTCTGATTGCTGTTCTCATGTGTACGGGACACTCCAGGGGGCGTGACGTTGTGTATCACTATGTGTGTGTGTGTATATGTGTGTGTGTGTGTGTGTGTGTGTGAGAGAGAGAGAGAGAGAGAGAGAGAAAGAGAGAGAGAGAGAGAGAGAGAGAGAGAGAGAGAGAGAGAGCCCTACAGCATGCAGCATGTTAGTGATCGGGGGCACAAGGGCAAGTGCTAACCTCGTGGAGAAAAAATATAAATATATTCCAATACAAAAGGTTTTTCCTTTTGAAATTCAAATAGAAAACATGTGGTTTGTATTCGAATACAAGACATCTGTGTTTTATTCGAAGTGTCAATTTATTTAAAAAAAGTGGACCAACAGGCCCTGGGGGGCCACACGCCATTTTTTTTATTTTCGAGCACCTCGACCAATACTGGTCCTGTATCTTCTAGGAAAGCCTGCTGCCCCAGAATCCCCTACCTGCAATTTTAACACCCTTCCAATGACCATTGGCTCCGTTCAAACGGTCGGTGTAACAAAACAAAGACGAAAACGACTAAGGTGTAATAATGCAACCCAACGGGCTGCGAACTCCTCCCCAAACGACCACTCTGACACCCTCCAAACCATCGTTAAAATTTGGCACGTGCTTCTTAGTGGCCTTGGCCCTCACCCCACAGGTGGAATAGCATGGGCCTGGGCCCGGTTGCCTAAAATTCCCACGATGGACATTGACGGACCCTCCCAACAACCGCTCCCGACCCGCTCCAAATCCCTCCCCTAAGCTTGGCACACTTTCAAGCACCGCTTGAGTCCTACGGACAACTGGTAGACCCAACGGTGACGAAACCGGCCTGGGAGGTACGTAACGCGTTCCGTATGGGCTGCGAACTGGTCTTGTGACGCCCAACCTCACGCCCAACGCGACTTCCTGATCSGAGTGGGATGTGGGCCTGGAAATGCGAAAAGGGGTGTGCCAAGGATTTTTGGGAAAGTGGGGGAGCCTTAAGGGTATGAATGCAATTAGGCGAATGAGGGGTGCGCGCACAAGGGTCTCATGGTCCGAAGGGGCCGGGACACTGTGATCGACGGGTTACGGTGAAATCCCTCCGCGGTGGAGGCGGTCCCGAAAAGTTAGGCCGTCGGGGGCCGCCGCGTGGCGCTGGTCACCGTGTACCTGAGTTGGGCCTGTGGAATTCCGGAGTTCTCTGTTTGCCGCTACGTCGGCAATTCACACAAAACGTGTCGGGCCAATAGGGGGCTATGGCCAGCCACGGGATGACACTGAGTTGATGGTACGGGAGAAGAAGGCGGAAAGGAGGGAAACTGGTGGTGATGACAACAAATCCAGGGTGGGTGAAGTAGTAGGTGTGGTCGGGAGAAGGGAAATCAGAGCACCGAGGGTCGCCAGAGATGACGCAGTGAAATTTCCGCGGACATAGCCGATTCTCCGTGTGACAGGGGTATCGCGTCCTTATGAGTTCGTTTATCATACGGGTGAAATAGTCCGGGTCGTAGGATGAGTCCGAGTTCCAAGATCGCGTCATGGTATCATCGTGGATGGGTCAGCTCGGTAGGGATGTCGTCACCACGCACGAGTACGTGTAGGGTAGGCAACCCTAGTGGCGTCGTGCTTGTATGGGATGACGGTTTCACCGCGAATCTTTTTGGGTGAGTGGATCGACGCACGGGAATGCGTGTAAGGGCGCGACTCGGATCGCGTTCACACGTGTGAACGCGCGGCGTTCGTGGGGTCAATCCTCATATCGTTTAATTGCCTCGGATTGTGCAAGATGCGAGCATATCACAACCCCCAGCGCGAGATAAGCAAAAACGAGGACAAAATCGCCATCGGTGCCAGATCCTTATCCCATCTACAGCTGCATCAGGTGTGAGCAAAGATTCGACACCAACAAAAGGTAAGGACCGGGATTCTCAGCAGTGATATAAGTGCGCAAGCATATCATCCATACATCCATACACTCAGCAATCATACACGTCACGCAACCGAGATGGACAAAAGCAAGGACAAGTGTGAGCAAATACCGAAGTCTCGATTCCCGAAAGCCGAAAACGAAAATGAGAACGGGCAAACCGCTCGGAGTCGTAATCAAAATGTATGTACACAGATGAGGAGGGGGAAGAGAAAAGAAATGGCAAATCCATCTTCATCGACCTCAACTCTCTCTCCTTCTCTCTCTCTCTCCGATGCGGACAGTCCGTCGTCACGCACCAACCCACGAAGTTGTCACCCCGCTTAGTCCTCCCGCACCCGTCGGATTCGTCCGTGCCCACTGTCCGTCGTGGCCCACGCCAATCCCGCGCGTTCGACACCAGCCCGTCGGGTCGCCCAACCCCTACTCTACTCACCTCTTACTTTACTCGTGTGCCGACCCTTCCTGGTCGCGCAACCCCGAGCTTTCAACAACAGGTCAAGAGAGCTGACTAATCACGCAGTCGAAATTTATAGCGTGCATGCATGCGCGAAGAACACGGAATTACCAGGACTTAGAGTGAGGATTAAAGAGGGAACGCCTGCGTTTTGCATGATCGGCCGCGGCGTGGGGGACGTAGCCCTTCTCCACGCGTCGATCCGAGCATGCAAGTCGCGGCTTACAAAATTTCAGCAAAAGAAAAAGAGGGAGGGCGGGAGACACGAAGTGCAAGAAGAAAGATACAGTTACAAGGGTGCCCGCCCAAAATTACAGTTACACACGCGATTACGGGCGCCCACTAATCAGAGTACCGTTACAACCGCATGAAAAAGCGCGTAGACAAAAGGCGCAGTGCGGCAAAGTCCTAATTACTGAATTCCTAAATTCCTATCTAATGCGGAAAAGCAAAAAAGCATACATTCCAGAAAGAAAGTCCAAAATCCCGAGAGCCATCGGGGCGCGACAAAATTCGAAAAAGATTCAAAAGAACGTAGCAATTTCCCGCGCGATGTCCGCGCTCAAAAGATCGAACCCGAAACGAAAGGAACGACGTCAACATTTATTAATTGCGCGCGTGATGGCGCGCCAGACATCCATCCAACCAATCTTCCCACCAGCCGTCCTAGGACACACCCAGACCCGAAGAAGCGACGAAAAAGACGAAGAAGCAAGGGTACTGATGCAATTTTGCACCGATCCCGATTTCCCGTAGGTGGCCCAATCTTCCCAGCTTAGGACCCCTCGTTGCAACTGCGCAGAAACTCGCGCGTTACAGAAAGTGGTTCGTCACAGTCTTCCCAAAGAAAACCTAACCCACGCCTCTCGAACCCCTTTTGTCATACTTCTTGGCCCTTTTTCCAACACACATGGAGGACCATGATGCTTCCCAGTCAGGCCAAATGCAATCTTGGGGCTAGGAACTGGGGCCTGGATCTTCCTGATTAGGTATGTGTACTGAGAGCTGTGGGACTTGATGGCTGCTGAACAGTCCTGCTGGTGCTCACCCCTGGCCGGCTACTCCTCTCGCCCCTTTCCTTTCGCCGGGCGTGTCCCCAATGCGGCAAAATACGGGAGTTTATGGTAGGGGGGGGGGGGGGGGGGGGGGGGGGGGGGGGGGGGGGGAGGGGATGGTGGTCGATGTTTGGACCGTATGTCGATTTATGCATTTGTCGGGGTCGGAACCGGCAATATTCCGTGTGAAAGCTCGCTTGACTTTGAGTGCCCACGTGTCAGTCTCGTGTCCCTTCCAGACAGATACCTATTGAAGCCCAACTAGAGTGATCCCCGGCGAGGGGCATATGAAATGGGTGCGCACGTGCACGTGTCCATCGATAACGCGGAGGCGACTGCTTGTACCGACCAGCACTTATCTCAGGGAATGGAAGGAATGGGTCTGGACTGGAGTGGTCCCATTCCTCTTCCGGAGTGAGAAGGGTTTGCTGAGCGCCGTTCTCCGGGTTATGGATGGAGGCACCTACACACTAACCGCGTTGAGGATGGTATAGGGTAGAAACGTACGGTAACGGTACGGACGGAACGATTGCAAGTACTCATCGTCCGTCCATGCAAGTCTATGGATGTCTAAGATGAACCACAAATGCAGCCATGTCTCCACGTCTGGCAAAATCAATTGACGGCAAATAGTGTCTTCCCTGTGTAGCATTCGTATTTCCTCTACACACACACACACACACACACACACACACACAGAGAGAGAGAGAGAATGGAGAGAGAGAATGGAGTCAATAGCCAATAGCCGGGTTGATGACACCAAGAGTCGGCCTTAGATGCTCAATACAGTGTTAATAATGGCGTCCGTGTGCACAGTGTGTACACGTCAGCAATAAAACCGCGGAAAGAAAGGAGGGCCCGAAATTTCCGCCGCTATTTGTTATGTTAATTGGGGCCGGACCCTTCCAGAGTTACCCACCGTAATAACAAGGTTTGCGTGCGTGGGTGAATGTGTGCGCGCTTGCCTATTGGCGGGACGCTATCTTACGTACCGGTTTCTGCCTGCCGTGCAAAGAGTCCGTGTAGAATGCTCGTACTAGGGAGTGCCTACGTGTCATTCCCTCGCTCTCCGGTAGACGTGTGGGATTTCAGTCGGCTCGCCTCCTCCCTTTTCCATTTGCTAGTGTCTTCTCGGTCTACGTGTCGCCTTGACGGTCGAGGGTCTATTGCTGCCTGCCACCTCTCTCAATGTCCACGTGGGCTGTAATATTCTGACACGTGGACTATCGTCATCTGTCTGTTCTCCACTCCCTAATTGCGGCGGCGGCGTTGGATATGGTTTTTTTTGCGAGTTGGCCTCTCTGTTGATTTGCTGGTAGTCGTCTGACACACAATGATGATGGTGGCGTGAGAAGGGCGACAAGCCGAAAGTCAAAGGTCAATTGTTGACCAACGTGTCAGTCAATCACGGGCTGACTGTACTGCAGACGTGGCAATCTCCCGCCAACGCCAGCGCCAGCGCCGGTTCAGGTTAATAAACCTACCCGCGGAGAAAAGAGTGGTGCGCAATTTGAGTTTTTTTTTTTCTCGGCGAGGGTTGCCGCGCCTTGTACACCAGCGACGGTAAACGGACGAGAAAAGATTAATTGATTGCTATTTCTTCTCTATCCGATTAAAAGAAGGGTAGGGTACTTTTTATCCTGGAGGAAAGATGATTGGTGACGTGTCAGCGAGAGTGGGGAAAAAGAAGCGCGGCCTGGAGGGCCTATCCTCGCCTCAGGCACCTGCGAAGCACATCAAGCCGTCGTCGTCGACGGATGGTGTGCAAGTTGGGGGGGGAGAGGGCCACAGTGGACGAATAGACGGGCTGTGCATTATTTCCACTGCCCCTACTCATCAAGAGGGGCTGGCCACTCGCGAAGGCACCCTTGACATCGAAACGGCGGGGGCTCTCCATATTCACCCGAATAGTTCTGGTCCTGGAGGAGCAGCGGGAGTGGCACAACCGGCCGCCGTCTCGGAGGACGGACCGACGCCACGTGGCGGTTACCAAGCTCCTCCCGTCGTCGTCGTGGAAGTAGGAGACGGGTCATCAAGTGGAGGGGGAGGATTGGGAGCGGGAGGCGATGGGGCGTCGACGGGAGGCATCTCTGGACAGCGTCACAACAGCAGCTTGGCGGGTGGGGGGAACGAAACGCTACATGATGGGGGGACCTCTTTTCGAGGTGCCGCCTCCGGCGATGATCGCTCGACTTCCTCGGAGTCAAAGAAAGGGGGGGGAGGAGGAGGAGGAGGAGGAGGAGCAGGAGTGTGTGGGGGGGCAGAAGTATTGGGGTTCAGTTCGTGGGGAAATGGAAAAAAGGGCGCAGAAGAGGGTAGGCGAGGGGTAGTAGTGCAGGGGGGAGAGGGAGGGGGAGGAGGAGGAGGCGGGGGGGGAGATAGACCGACCGATGTTATTGTGATCGACGATGAGAGTGACGACGAGGGTGAGAGGGCAACCGCGAGAAAGGCGGCGGCTGGCTTTGCAAGGGCTATGGCGCGAGAAGACGACGGCGGCACTCTGATGAGAGAGGACCCTGCGAAGGCCGACGGCGAGCAGGGCTGCTGTCGAGCAAAAGAGGAAAGAGGGAGAGCGGTAGGGGAGAAGAAGACGGAGGGACGAGTGGGAGGTGGTAGAGAACAGATAGCAGCAGAAGCTAGAGCGAATGGAGTGGTGCCTACGGCAAGAGCGCCGAAGGAGAAGAGAGAGAGTTTTCTGAGGGGTGTGTGGGACTTCCACGAAAGGAATGGCTACGGCGGATGGCATGCGCTTCCCCTTGTGGTTGGGGGAAAAGCCGTTGACCTCTACGATCTGTACCTGTCCGTGAAGCAGTGGGGAGGGTATGACGGGTTGGAGGGACTGAATGGATGGCGCGCGGTGGCCGATAGCTCGGGTTTCCCGCCGATGAGCGGTCCAAGCCTGAAGCAGATATATGCCAAATATATAAAGGCGTTCGTGGAGGAGGAGGGGAAGGAGAGCGACGACGATAGCGCTTGCATGGATTGGAAGTGGAAGAGGGAGAGGAAGGGGAACGAAGGGGGCGGGGCGGCTGGCAGCGCTGCTAGGGAAGCTGCGGGGTGTGATTACCCAGGTGGGGGTGCAAGAGAGGAGAAAGAGAGCGGGCGGAGGGGGTTCGTGGTGCCGCCGGGGGCGGCGGCGGCGGGAGGGGGAGGAGTTGTTGGTGGCGATGGATGTTGTCGAAGCGGAACTCGCGCGACGGGGGCGCGAGTGGGGGAGGAGAGAGCGGGAGGGGGGAGTGGAGGAGGAGGGAGAAAAGCGGCGCCAATAGAAGAGGAAGAGGAGAGAAGGAGACTACAGCTCGGCGAGAACGAGGCGCATGAAGACCCCCTTCGAGGGCTGGTATCTTGGATACGCTACGTGGCACGTGTCGTATACCACGCGGATGCGTCGGGGGAGCGCGGAGGCGTGGGGACAGGTCGAGCGACGACGGCGAAGGAGCGAGAGGCGAGAGACAGACAGATGGTGGAAATGGCCGTCCGAATGAGGGCGACGCTGTTTGGCGAAGGCGCACAGAAAGGGGATGCGAATGGGGGGGACGGGGGAGGTGGTAGGCGCCGAGAGCGGGTTGGCGCTAGTGATGGTAGAGAGGGGCAAGCCATAGAAATCACCGAGGTTGATGGGCAGGGGGAAGGAGTACCCCCGGAGCAGCAGCAGCAGCAGCCACAGGTTTCGCTGGGGGAGGGCCAGCAGCGGCAGCGCCATCAGCTGGAGCACGAAGGCGGGAAGAGAGGTGGTGTCGGTGGGGGAAGGGCGGGAAAGATCATTGTGGAAGGAGGGTACGCGGAGCGGAGACCAAGCAGTCAGGAACGGGACCGGGACCGAGAACACGCGGAGAGACAGCAATTTAGATCCCAATCAGCAGCGGCGGCAGCAGCAAGAGTGGCACGTGGAGGAGCGGGGGGGGGCGGAGGAGGAGGAGGAGGGCGAGTACCTCCGACAGGAAGCGCGCCTGTTCTGCCACCCGGCGCGGCTGCGACCACGGCGGTGGTGGCTACGACAGCGACAGCGGGCCCGCCCGTGCAGCGCCGGGTCAACCCGCCCAGCCTGCCGCCGCTGAAGACTGTACCAATTGGCGCGCTGTACCAAGCGCAGATCCCCCCGCTGCGGCCGTTGCGCTCTCCCCTCCCGCCGCTCCAGAATGCTACCGGCGTGGCGGCGGTGACGAGCGCTGAGACGGACATCGCGACCGGTAGCGGCGGGAACGCGGCTCCGCCTCTAGGGCGGCGGAATGGTCGGGAATCGGATGGCGGGGAGGAGGGAGGGCTGCGCCCAAGGCAGTCCGGCGCAGCCGGTCTTCATGCGCTGGAGAGCAAATGGCTTGGCACCAAAGTGTGGCCGCAGAGAGGATGCCACGTAGGCAAACGACCTCAGCCGCCCTTGGATGTGTTGGCTGCAAGGATGAGCACCACCAACGGGGCATCGGACGAGGGCAGAAGGGGCGAGGGGATCGTGGGATGGGGAAGAGGAGGAGGGGGAGAAGGGATCTCTCGATCCACTGCGACTGGAGGGTTGAGATTTCCATGCCAATGCCCTAAACCGGGTGCGGCGAAGTGTAGGCGGCTACACGTGCGGGAGGCGACGAAAGCACTTGCCCAAGTGCTCCAGGGTGCTGAAGAGGGATTTGGACTGAGAGAAATGGGAGAGGATAGAGTAGGTGCCACGTGGACGTGGGATGAGAGAAGCATGTTCGATCTGTCTTTGGATTTGCATGGGAAGGCGTTTTGGCGCGCAGTGCGGCGGTCGCTCCCCGGCAAAACGCGAGCTCAGATCGTCAGCTACTACTACAACGTGTGGAAACCTAGGAACAAAGTGGAGATGGCGGCCGACGAGGAGGAGGAGGAGGAGGAGGAGGAGGAGGAGGAGGAGGAAAGGGAGAAGAGAGTGCGCGTGGCGGCGGCGCAAGGAGGAGGAGGAGGAGCGGCACACGGCTCGTTGATGGGCTATACCATCGAAAGTGAAGACGATGATGACGAGTATGAGATGGTCGAAGATAGTGATGATGATGAAATGGACGAAGACGAGGAGGAAGAGGAGGAGGAGGAGGAAGAAGAAGGAGATGATGATGATGATGATGAAAGGAGGCGTCGTGGAGAACTGAGGAAGTCAGCTATGGCGGCAAACGGGAAAGAGCAGGAAGAGGAGGAAGAAGACGAAAGGCTGCGATGGTACAAGGAGCTGGCAGCGGGCAACGAGCGGGACATGACGGAAGAGGGCGAGGTCGACGAACATGAAGAGGAAGAGGGGATGGAAGATGAAGATGATGAGGAGGAGGAGGAAGAAGAAGAAGAGGAGGAAGGAGATAACATTCAAGTCCTTCAGGGTAATGCCGATGACCTCGATGGGGTGACCATTCCCGGAGCAGCATCAGCGGTAGCTGAGCGGGAAACGGGGGCGGCATCTGTGCGTCCTCGACGAGCAGGTATAGTATTAGGAGGGAGAGGCGGGGGGGGAGGAGTGGAACTCGGGCACGGCCCGTCGAGTGTAGGTTGTTGCCGTGATGAAGCCATAGCGATGGCGGTAGAGCTGGACACCTCAGAAGGCGGGGAAGTGGACAACAACGTCGCTGTACTCCTCCCACCTGGTGGAGCCAGAGTAGGGGGGAGAGGAGGAGGAGGAGGTGCAGCAGCGGGAGCAGGAGAAGGAGAGATCGACTCTGACTACGAGGGTTTCGTGGATGGGATAGCGGTGATGAGAGAAAAGCGGCGGCGTGTGTCGGGGTCCGAGACCGGCGTTGTCCGTTCTGCTGCACCACCTGCTGGGTGTGTTGCTCGTCCCCTCCTGTCAAGCGGGGAACCATACCAGCAGCAGCAGGAGCAGCAGCCACAACATCGAGAAGAAGATGAATGCCTAGACGCGTTTGTGGGCGGGCAGCAAGCGTTGCCGACTGCAGATCGTGCTATGTCGGCGGCAGAGTCGGACGCGCGCAGAGGTTCTGCGGAGGTTCGCCGGCGGGGAGGAAGCTGCGCCGATCCTCCGCGTGGGCCCGCTTCTCCGCTCATGCCGGTCCTCTGCGCGCGCCCGCTTCCCCACGATGGAAGCGACGAGCATATGAGAAGTTTTTGCGTGGTAGAGAGTGACGGTCATGACGAGGAGGCGGCCAGAGATTGGGTGGAAGAGATGGTGGTCGGCGTGATGAGTCCATTTGGCGGGCAAGAAGGAGAAGAGGCCGCCGGTGCAAGTGGAGGTGGAGGGGGGGGATGCGTCCTTTCCTCTCTTAGGTTTCCAGATATGGGCAGTCATCATAAGTTCGGAGCGGAGAAGGTAGGTCTGCCGAGCGTGGGTGCAAGCGACGGGATAAGCAGAGGCTTGGGAGAGGAGGAGGAGGAGGGGAGAAAGGAGGAGGAGAGGATTGGGAGAAAGGCCGGTCCCCCGCATGGAAACGTAGAAGGCGAGGTGGAGGTGATCTCGGACGGGAAAGCTAAGGAGCGAAGGAGAGAGAGGGAGAGGACGACGGACGAAGTGACTGCGAGCGTGTTGAGTGCCGAAGGTGTAGTGCCCGATCTCGATGCCGCAGCTACTGCGAGAGTCGGGGTTGTGAAGGAGGAGGGTGAGTCTGTCGGGGCTGTTCGGTAAGTGCGGTCAGGGGGGGCAGGAGATGGACGGGGAGGTGGGGAGGCGGGRGGGGGGGAGGAACAATGACGTCAACGGCAAAGCTGACGACAGCAGGCTCGTGGCGAATGACGATCTTGCGAGCGGGCAAGATGGCCTGAGGAGAAGGTGTGTGGGATATTGTGAGGGGACGGATGACGCAGGTACCGACGTGTTTCTTTCAGGGTACTAGTATATATATATATACATATGTGACGATATATATATGCGAATATCGGGGCGGTGGTGGCCGCAGGGAAGTAGGCACAGGCGTCAAGGTCGAAGAGATTCGGAAGAAAGAAAGTCACCCGCATGCAGCAGTATAAGGTACAAGGATATGCTTACAGATAAGAGTTGTTTGTGTGTGTGTGTGTGTGTGTGTGTGTGTGTGTGTGTGTGAGAGAGAGAGAGAGAGAGAACACTTCGTGTCTGTGCAAGAGAGAGAGAGAGAGAGAGAGAGAGAGAGAGAGAGAGAGAGAGAGAGAACACTGTGGGAGAGGAGAGAGAGAGAGAGAGAGAGAGAGAGAGAGAGAGAGAGAGAGGAGTTTTAGGAAGATGGGGAAGAGCAAAGAGATGTGCGTAGGGAGGGGGGGGAGGGAAGGGTAGAGGAATGGCAAGGGTGTGGGTGTGCACCATTATTGACTGACTTAATTAGCTGTGTTTTCGCTTATTTTTGGTGGCTTGTTTTCTCCCAATTTCGGCTTCTCCAGTATGATTTCTTGTTGTTTGTCTTGCCATCTTACTGAGCCCCTTTCCCTGACCCTCGGATAAAATTGACAGTAATGGCAGATTTGTAATAATTGATGTGAGTGCACCAGCTGTAATTCTTATGCTCCTGGGATGTTCTTTTCTTCCATCTTCTCCTCTCTCTCTCTGCTGCCTTTCTCTGCCGATTGTTCCCTACCTACTTTACGTTCCTCTTCTTCTTCGTTCTCTCTTTTTTCTTCTTTTGCCGCGCTGTCTTATTCTTCTCCTATGCTCTTTCTTTTCCATTCTCTTCTTCTTCTTCTTCTTCTTCTTCTTCTTCTCTGTTACCTCTGCTACTCACGTCTTCTCTTTTTGGTTCACATCTCTTCTCGTTCTTCTTCTTCTCATTCTGCATGCTTTTGTTGTTTTCTCCCTTTTCTCACTTTTTTCTTCCTCGCACGCTTGCCTTTTCTACCATCTCCTATTTTCTTCTTCTGCTCTGCTTATTCTCCGACTGTTTTCGTGCTGTGAACATGCTGACAAATTATCCAAAAAAAAAATTTTAAAAAATCTATCTGTCGATGCTTGTAGTAGAAGCCGTCTATGGCCGTATCCAAAAAAAAAAAAAATGTCGATGCTTGTAGGAGAAGCCGTCTATGGCCGCTGTTTTCACTTTTCTTCTTCACATGCTTACCTTTGCTGACAATTCTGCTTTTGCTGCTGTAGCTGTTTACTTTTCCTCCATCCCTTTGTCTTCTTCTGTGTGTGTGAGAAGTAAGAAGTGTCCTCCCTCCCTCTTGTTGCGAGCACCCTGTGCTCCAACTGGGTTTTCAAAATGCAGGACGTTTCTCTGAAAATTCGCTCTCTTTTCTCCTTCGGCAATCTGACCGGATGGAATCTGACTTCCCCTCCCCTATCCTCCTGGCTTTAACCTCTCCTGTCGTATCCTCCTGGCTTTAACCTCTCCTTGCTAGCGGTGAAAACTCTCACACCACGGTAACAAACACGCACACACAGTCAAAACTCACCCCGTTCTGCTCCAGTATGGCAAGGATGGCACTTCGTTTCTGGAGTTTTGTCTAGCAAATATGGGAACGCACATACAGACACACACAGTCGGTGGAAGTCCCAACGAAACAGTCTGGCACAGTCCTGCTTTATTTGTGGAGTTCAGCGAATATGATCACACACACACACACACACACACACACACACACACACACACACACACACACACACACACACACACAGAGCGAGAGAGAGAGAGAGAGAGAGTCTACCTTTTTTCTCTCTCAAGGATGGGTATCGCTAACTCTGGGCGATGTGGTGAGAGTCCTTATCCATCAGTCAAATGCATCCTGGACAGACTGTCTGTCCAGGTTCAACCTCCTGATGAGCCGGTGAAAGTCCGACGAAACAGTCTGTTCGGCACAGTCATGCTTTTCTTTGTGGAGTTATAATGCTTTTCTTTGTGGAGGTATAATGCTTTTCTTTGTGGAGTTATAATGACTCTTCTTTGTGGAGTTATAATGACTCTTCTTTGTGGAGTTGTAATGCTTTTCTTTGTGGAGTTATAGCGAATATGATCACACACACACACACACACACACACACACACACACACACACACACACACAC